TCTCACACACGCGCACACACACACACACACACACACACACACACACACACACACACACACCACTCAGAGTATTTAGGTCTCCTCCCCCACAGCCAGTCTCTCTTCCCATCATGCAGCAGCCACTCACCCTGTGAAATTCATTTGGCCCCAAACTATAGCCAGGATAAAAATGCAGATCAGAAGTGTCCGTCTGTCCACAGGGGACAGCCCAGGACCTGTTCCTCCTCCTAGGGGGCCTTGCATGCTTCTTTCTCCAGGCAAGCTTCAAGGGCTTTCTTCCAGCTTGGCCATGGCCTAGGCCTCACGACAGCACATCACCTAAAGGCCGGCAGGCCGGCCCTGAGAATAGATATTAGGCTCTAAGGGGTCTAGGTCTGGCGTGTGGTACCCACAGGCCAGGCCTTGGGAGAGCCGGGCCAACCCTCCTCCCTCCTTTCCTGGGAAGGGGGTGGAAAGAGGGGAAAGGGGGAAGACAAGACCCTTAGCTTTTCTTTCCTCTGTAGGATGGGGAGGAGATTCCCCGCGCCAACCTCCTCACGAGCATCAAATCCTCCATCTCCAGAGAAAGAGAAGTAGCTAGTGGCTCTAGGCTGTCCCCTCTACATAACTGCTCTTCTGCCCTCCTTCCCTTTCCACACACTAACCCTGTCACCAAGCCATATGCTCCTTACACAGAAGAGAGTAAGCATCATTGAAGGGTCCCAGGTCCCAGGACAGAGGACTGGGTGCTCAGCCCCTGTGTAAGAGAACTGGGGCCTGTGACCTGCTCTAATCTTAGTGAGCTAACTCACCAGTCAGGCGGTGTTGAAAATACCTTCCCTCCCTAACTCACAGGAGACCTGAGGTATTACATGAGACAACCTGGATGAATTGGCTTGGTGAAGCCCGTGACATGTAATGTCTTATTTTTTAGAAGGCATTAACTCTTAGCCACAGGTCTATACTCCTGTTGCAACAGGGAAGGGACAGTGGAGCAAAGGAAATATATATTGTATACGAGAAGGGATTCGGCCAGGATGCCTTGTCTCTGCCATCAGGTAGTCACCGCTCCACTGAGATAGGTGGAGCAGTTTCTGCAGGACATGAAGGCCATGACAGTCATTTGTATAGTTCTCAACAAACAGCAAAGTCCATTTGTCAGTCCTGCAGAAGCCCTACGCAGTCTCCTTATGGTTTGGGAACAGTAAGAACAAAGTAGAGGCCAGTACACAAAGTAGTCATCTTGAAAGAATGAAGCAAAAGAGGGGCCTGAATGATACAGGATGAATCTAACAGAAAATCTGAAAGAGGTGGGAAGATTCCAAGCCAAAATCCAACAAAGATGTTCTGTTCACAAAGGCCACTTAACTGTCACTAGAGATTCTCAGCAGCCCCCGCCCCCCTCCACCCATACTTTCCCACAATGGCCAATTAGTTGGCCATGTGTGTAGAGGGGGTCACTCTCCTATTGATGGCTGGTCCCGCTCCCCACCCCTCCTGCCCACTCCATCATTTCATGGGTCAGCTCTTGAGACGCGCCAAACTCTCCTAGTACCCCAGCTTTGGAAACGCTCAGAAAGTAACATTAGCAAAGGGCTTAAGGACCTAGAAAAGAAGGCAATTGTGTGGCTTTAGTAGCCATGAGAATAAAAGAACGAGCTGGTAAATAATAGCTCAGAAACTCAAAAGGAAAAAGTGGGAATGGCACTAGTCACCGAAAGCACCCAGCATCCTCTTGTTCAAAAGCATCATTTTAAGCCACTAACAATGAGACAACTATCCCTGTACTTGGTTTAGGAAGGAGAGAGAGATGGAAAGAGAGAGAGAGAATTAGAGAGCAAGGGCAAGGATAGAGAAAGAAGCGGTTAGAACTCTAGAGAATTCTATGGCAGCACTTCCAATAGAACTTTCTACGATAATGGAAATGTTCTTTCTCCACATCATCAAGAGGACAGTCAACTGGCCCCTTGACATGCCTGGGAAATTTTTAATCATGCTTCATTTTCACTAACTTAAATAGCCCCACCTAGGGAATGCCTACAAAATCAGACAGCAGAGTTCAATGGGAATTTGCCCACCCTCTGAGTACCACAGCCAAAAGCTAAATTTGAAGCAGAAACACATATACGTGTTTAGCGAAATGCTTCATACTGGCTTCTCACTCATCATTAATGATCCATTAATCATTTACTCAATAAGCAGTCTACTAGAGCACTTACTATGTGCCAAACACTTACTGAGGTCAGGGAGTAAAACAGTGCAACATAGTCCCCGCCCTTATTATTTCTCATGGGCAGGCTGACAATGAGGAGCACACAGCCGGTAAATGAACATGTGCTGCCCAGGGAAAGCATGTAAGGGCAAGAAACACGTAGTGGAAATATCCTTAAACAAAATGTGTTGAGGAACTTTTACTTCCAGCAAGTGGGCAGGGTTAGACCCCCCCAAACAGTCCTGCCCAAAGTGAGCCACAAGGATGCAGGATACAATATCTTCAATAACGTCTCTCTAAATGCATCACTAGGATGCCCTTTAAGTATTTGCAGATCCATATAGTCCTAAAAAGCCAGCCACAGACAACTGTGAGCGGGCAAGCCCTTCCCCTGGCTTCTCCTTGTCAGAAGGCACACCTTGTATCTACGGTGAGTTTTCCATTTGTTCAGAGTCTCTCTCCTGAAAATTTTTTTGTCATTGTTTTGATTTCTTTGAGAAGTCTTTGTTCTGCTCCCACTCTTGAAGGACTTTTAATGGTTATAAATTCCACTTGGTTGTTGTTTTTCTCTTGACACGATGAAAGTATATCCCACGGTGTTCTGGCTTCCATTTTGCTGTTTAATCAGTTGGTCTAACTGCTCCAAGTTCCTTGGTAGGTTTTGCTCATTTCTGGTCGCTTTGAAGATCTCGTTGCTTTTTTTGTTCTACAGTTTTATTATCATTTATACTTCAGAAATCATAATATGTCTAAGTGCAGACTTCTTTGTTCTGTTCTGTTTGAGATTCCTTTAGTTTCCTACATTTGGATATTATCACTATTTTCAAATTTTCTCAGCCATTGTGTTCTTCAAACATTGTCTCCCTGCCAGTCTCTCCAGTACTTCCATCTGGAGCTTTTGAATAGCTGATATTGGGCCTTTTCATGCTGTCTCTCAGATTTTAAACCATTTTGTTATATTCTTATTTCATTGTCATCTTTCTGGGATACATAGAATAGAATTAATTTACACCAAGTATTTGTAACCTTCTCATCACCCAAATTTGATATGTAATTTAATTGATCAACTGAGTTTTAAATTTCAATCGCTTAATGCATCAATCTTAAAACGAATTTTCCCCACATTTCAAAACCTTTGAAATCAAGATGCATTGTACAATTGTGTCAAATCTTCAGGTGAGTGGCAATGCTTTTGATGGCAAATAAAAATTACGCTGTTGCTTATGATCAATCCTATCTTATCAACAACATAGAGTATTTGCTTTTTCATTTGTAATTCTAGTTGGTATTCCTTCAAGTTCAACTAACCAAATTCTTGGTCCTTTCCTTTGCCTGCTAGGCAAGTGCTCCCCACTGAGCTACATGTGCTCAGCTTGTTTGTTTGTTTGTTTGTTTGTTTGTTTTTAGAGTTGCACACATTCATGCAGTGTAATTATGCTCAACTACAGTCAACTACAGTCACCCTCTCCTCTCTCTGAATTCTTTCCTCTTCCCCAAAAATCCCTCAGTTGGCTGTACCATTAAAGAAAGTGAAATCGTCAAGGGAAGCCTTGAATGTGTTATTCTCCTGCCTCAGTGACCAATAGCTTACTTGCAAGGCCTTAGCTCCTAGGACAGCTGTATTGCTGTTTATTTCAATTTAAATAGGCCAGGATCCAGAGTCTAACTCCTTTCACCTCAAAGCCTAATGGTTACACAAAATTCAACAAGCTGAAACACAAAGACTATAGGAAAAGTCGGGTTAACCCTGGAGATGAGAGGCATCCTCAGTCTATCATTATTGAGACAATATAAGGCTACATCGAGGCAAATAGATCATAGGAAGCACAGAAATAAGCCACGCCACATTTGGAAAGTTCATCTTTTAGACACAGCACAGCAGACCAATGTGGAAGCAGACAGACTAGACAATGGATATGACTGGGGCTAGTGTAGACCTGCATGGGGACATGAAATGCAATCTCTATTGTGTCACATATAAAAATCAATTCCAGGTAGATTAAAATGCTTAAGTGCAAAAGTAAAACTATAGAGCTTCTAGAAGGCAACACAGAGGTTTTTTTTAAATACATAGCATTGGGGTAAGAACCAGCTTTTAAAACAAAACATAAAAAGCAAAATAAAGGTAAAGATGGGTGAAAATGAACTACATTAAAGTGAGGAGCTTCTAGCTCTATCTAAAACTTCAGTGAATTGGGCTGCTCAAGCAGGGTGACTTTTTGAGGCCAGCAAAGGCAACATACTGAGACCCCATCTCTTAAAAGAAAGCAAGCAAAACAAAAGAAGAAAGAAAGAGCGATAAAGAAAAGATTGTCAGGTGTGGTGTACACTCTTGTAATTCCACCACTATTGAGATTGAGGCAGGAGGATCCCAAATTAGAGGACAGCCTGGCATACACAGTGATACTCTAGCTCCAAATAAAATTAAAAATTAATTTATTCTAATGTTAAAATAAAAAGTAAGTGAAGGCTGTCTAAATCTGGCACTGTAGTGCACAGTCGTAATCTCAGCTGCTTAGGAGGTTGATGTAGACAGATCACAAGGTCAAGGGCAGCCTGAGCTACATGTGTTGGAGGCCAGCTTGGGCCCCTTAACAAGACCACATCTTAATGAAAGAAAGGACATCTGTTTTTAAGATTCTAAATTAAGAACTGGGAGGACATATTTGCAGCATACAAAACTGGAGAAGAATTAACATCCAGGACATCTAGAGAACACATGTGAATCAATTTCTATAAACTATTTCTAGTGAAAGACTATGTCACAGAAGAGGACTCATAAATGGTCTATAAGTGTACAACAAAATTACCACATCATGCCACCAAATTCACAAAACTTTAAAAACTCAGCCAGTGATAAGAGTTAACAAAAATAGAGGTGGCTCATGTAGTCTCTCATCTCCTCTTGGGAGAGTTTAAAATGAAATAATGTCAGAAAATCGGTAGAGTTAGGCTGAAGATACAGCTCAATAGTAGAACCTAGTAATGTATGTGGCTCTATGCTCTGTCCCCAGCATGTGGAAAATATCCTTTTTGTTGCCATCACACTGGC